CTGGGTCAAGACCCACAGGGCAGCAAACTCGGTGGCCTGCACACAAAAGCGCCCGCTACTCTTCAACCTCAGGGGCTCAGAGATGGCTGAGGATCATATACTGGTTGGTCAATAGGGATTTCTCTATTGGATTATGATAATCCCTAATATATTAGGTTGTATAATCCCGTATAATCCCCTATAATCATCAACCAACAGGGGTTTTGAACACTGCTCAATTGAAATGGTCATCTCATTTCATTTCAAATTTGGACAAAATGGTGCTAAACAATGATAAACCATCCAAAATGTGGGGTGCCCTATTTTCAATGCCACAACTGTCATCCAAATACTTATCGGATTGTGTCCTTAATTCCCAATAAACCAGTTGGCATAATATAACATATAATCCTAGATGAGCATCGACTAACATGTTGTTTGGGGCATTGCTCGCATGAAATTAACCCAAAACCAAGACCTCAAACTCACCAGTTCCACCAACCCAAACCACCATTGCTTCAAAGGTGAATGTGGGATACATGTTACTTCTTTGTAAAGAAATATCGAGTTTTACACATCTTTCTTCATGAATCAACCAGTAGGAAAAGGACATCTAGTATTCATACACCATGACAATACATGACACATCCATGCTTGCTGATTATGACTGCGTGCTCATACTTTTCTATTTTGGGCATGCAAATCCACAATAGTATCATTCAAAAGCCTATTGTATCGTAATATGAGCTTGAAAATGTCAGATATCGCCGTTTTGACTTTGAGCCAGGTCACACCAGCACGGTCGCCTCTGTTCCAGACACATACTGAATCGAAAGCAAGTTGGACCTGGTTGAAGTGCAGCACTACATCCGACAGGGATTGGTTGATAGGAATTCCCATAGTGGATTATGATCACAATCATAATCCCCAATCAAGCAGTGATTCTAGAACCCCCTATAAAAACAAAAAAACTGCCCATTTCCGTTTCCACGCTAATTATCTTGTCTGGCTACACCATGGCAAAATTGAGCTACCCTTATTCTCTCATCGTCAGCTCAACATGAGATTAACCAATTGAGCTTTGAGGATGTTAACACTTAGCCAGATCAATCTGGTTGGTGTGTCCAACCTGTCCCCGAAAATCGATTTAGTAAAGTCCATCGTTCAAAGCAAGGACGGAATGAACAATTTTAAGCCTCACCCAAACTGGGGGGCTCCCAACCAGTCAGATGCCATTTATTTTTCCCTGCTTCGGAGCATCAACCAGTTCAACCAGTTTGATTTGAACCCATTTTCATTGGATTGGTTTAAGGGAAAATTTACAGGAAACCTCTATATTTAATGGTAAAAACCATGCTTTCCTGTAAATTTTCCCTTAAACCAATCCAGTGACATTTATATACTGTCCATGCTCTGACAACGGAAACACACGTGCGCAGTTGTTTCAGAGTCTTGGAGTCTGCTTCCTTAGCTCCCCACGTGCCCTGGCTCAAAGAGGCAGACCTCAGGCCATCAGTGGCCCTGATTGCATGATATCCCGACCTTCTGAGTAAATATGATTAAATCATCTATTAAATCATATCAAAAATAACATAAAATAACTATATTAAATCAATCCCACTAGCCCATTTGAAGATGATATAGATGATTTTCCTTTTTCATACACTAGTGGGACGGATTCCCCAGTGCGACTTTCTTTACAGGAGTTCCCAGCATCGTCCCACTCTATGTGATCCACTTGTGATTGTACTGCAAAGACCGCAAACGCTGATCAAGAGTCCATATCAACCCGCAAAAGGATGGAAACATAATTTGCCAAGTCTATCTTTTTGGGATTTTTAGGGGTTGCTACAAAACCATCCAATGTTGGTGCATCCAATCACCAGCTGAATGTTTCCCCCAAAGGCAGCAGAGGCTCATGTGGCTGAGATCCGGGCACGTGTGGTTGGTTGAGCAGCCCTGCAAACAAGGTCTGCAGCGGAGGAGGCTGCCTTCCAGGCGTGCGTCAGCAAGGAAATCATCTTGGAAGTGGCCGGGATCCTCTATTTTCAGCTCACGTGCATTCAAAGGATTTCAAAGGACTGCGTTGATGTACATATCGAAAAATATTGCAATCGACGTCAACACTGAAAGTCTCAAATGAGACCCACATTGAGAGTCAGACTTGTTGCAATCCAGCTGGATCTTGTGGTTGGCATTCTTGACTGGTGGAATTGGCTTTGCCTTCAGCTCGCAAAATGCAGAGTCAAAATGATCGAAGTTGGTTGAGTCCAGCATTTTGGACCCTTGGGAAAATTTTGGGGACCCGGCCACCAAAGCAAATGGCAAACCGAAAGTGGTTGCCACTGTGCGCGGCTCATTGTTCACAGAGAAATACCTGCCACGAGTCCGTTGAGAGCGAGAAAGGTGTCGTTTCCAAAATGATCAGTGGGCTACCCTGGGTGGCCCCAAGAATAGACCCTCTCTTGGGGTTATGGTGTTTAATCCCCTACAAATGGCGACATGGGATGGCTTTGCCAAAAGCTCTGGACCGTCCTCACCACTGCCATCCACTGCCATTCCCAGGTGCACGATGCACATGCCATCACTTCCAGGCCCGAGCAAAGGATCTTATTCCACCTGAGCATCAAGCTTCGCTGCTGCTACCAACTATTCTCACCATTTGGCCCTGTTCATGACCAACAAAAAGTGGTATGGGATGGTTTTCTACTCAAGATATCTCCAGATGACCAGCTCATCGGTCCCAATAGGTCTCATTTTTTGTGGCACATACCCAAGTAAATTGATTTAGATCCTCAGCTTTTGATGCTGAAATCATATGAATTCCCAATATTCCCAATGTGCGTAGCTTGTGGGCGAAATCACCAATTTTTGGTGGGTTAAATCCATCCCCACCTCTTTCGCCCTGGAAACCACACTGAAACCACTTGGTTCCCGAGCACTCGAACTAGGACAGACACGACAACCGGAGGACCACCGGGTTCCACCTCAGAAAGTCAGCCGTTTGGAGTTCGAGTTGGATAGAGAATTGGCCAGCAGCCATGGGTCCGGATCAACCGAATGAGGAGATACAGCAAGTGTCCAGTTTCTTATCATGTTTAGAATATCCAACTATGTATATATATATATATGTGTGTAAATAAATATATATATGTATATATATATGTGTATATATTATTATTATTATATAAATATATATGTATATATATATATATGTATATGTATATGTATATATATATATATGTATATATATATATGTATGTATATATATATATATACATATGTGTATATATATATATGTATATGTATATATATACATATATATATATACATATATATATACATATATATATATACATATATATATACATATATATATAATATTATTATTATTATTATGTATATATATATACGTATGAATATATAATAATAATAATAGTAGTAATAATAATAATAATATATATATATGTACGTATGTAGAGATCTCCAAATGTCTCATGAGTCTCAACCATTCTGACCAGACACCTTCTCGATGAAAATCGAGTTCTGTGAAAGGTGGAAGCACTGGGGGGCCTCCAGCTGCAGTGCAGGCGCGCTACCATGGGGCTGGGGGACATCCCAATTCCTGGCAAAGTAAGCATCAAATTATGGGTAAGGGGACACTAACCAGCAAAGATTAGGATATTTGATATTTGGAGTTGTTCACATCATAAATGCCCAAACTCAAATTATGCGGATATTACGGGATATTCTGGAATATTATATATAGATGTATGGGATATCAACATATATCAACCATTAACTCAATGGGGGCATTAGCTAACCAGCAAACATGTTGATGGCGACCTACACCCATGGACCCACCAAATTGGCCATGTTCAGTTCCAGACCGCTAAACCATAAACATTGGGGAAAAGTAATTGTCGACCATACACAAAGTACCCAAGTAATTGTTGACCATGGCACGACAAGTCAAAATCTCACCGAAACATACCGAAACTGATTCTGGATTCAGCGGAACAAATTCTGCTCTGCCGGTGCCTTCAATGTAATTGATACCTCGGACAACGTTCAACGGCTACCAAAGAAGCTTGAATTGGAATTATCTGAAAATTGCTTGGGAGATCCCAAGATCCAGCGGTTCATCATTATCCCGTCTAGACACATCATGACACATCTAAAATATTCTAAAATTGAAGTGAGCTGTGTCCTGGGGGAATCCGCAACGAGAACTACGTTACGGGGCCGCTTTGAGGCTCGCGCATTCTCTACCGGTTTGCTCCCTCCCAGCGTCACGATGATGTGCACGGTGAGTTGCATCACCATGCCTGATGGATCCACTGACGAACCAAAGGGGTGGAAAAAATGTGAAAAATTGCAACCTACCCTCTGATTATTTAACATAGCTATGGAAAATGACCAATCATATGCTGGTTTACCTGTTGGAAATGGTGATCTTCCATAGCTATGTTAAATATGTCAAATAACCAGAGGGTAAATCAGAAGTTGAAAGGAACTGAGACCTTGAGTTCGAGTAATGGTTGGCGAACTTAAGACGCTAAGCATTGGCAGTTGCAAGTCAATCATCAATGGTGGTGTATACTGTAAACCCTAAACCCTTTGCATCACCAATATCAACCATTATCAACCCCATATCCCTCAAGTAGAAAGATGTAGAAAGCATATATTGCATAATGGTGGATCACCGACATTACTGCAACCCGGTTATATACCCCATGAATATCATCAACATGAATCAACCACCATAGACATTGGATGACATTGGGATTGTTTTCTGAGCCACGGATCCCGACTGAGAGCGAGACCATCAGAACGCCCAACAGGATCATCCTTAGGCATCGAAGTTGCTAAAACTTATCAAAATTCTCGATCATTCTCTATCTGGGTATGGATCAATACCTATTAATACCATTTTTAGGGGGATGAACATCCATAAATCCCAGCTATTTTGATGTGAACTACAGGGGTACTATTGGTTTTGACACACTGCCATCTCAGGATCATGTGCATCCAAGGTGCAGCATCACAATCATCCTCATTGCCCAAATCCAGCACTTGAGGCACCTGGAAGGCGGATGTAACCCCTTCTTTATTGGTTGCCTCATACCCCGAGTTGACCCCACAAAAATGTCGAACAGTAAAGTCCGATTCCAAAATTGAATGGTAATTTACTAAGGATCTATCAAATCCTTAAATTGTGCGCTAAGTTGTGCCTTTTCTGCATTTTTTGCAGGTTACTATACTCCCAATCCACCAGGCACCTGCGCTTCGATGGCCAGACTCTCTTCCGGCTCAGCAGCTCCATCGCCGTGTGTCTGCCTGGCCGGATCATCATCCTTTCTCTTTTGAAGATGTTCCATCCCAAAATACTGCTTGTTATATGTAGGATTATGTAGGTATCCCACGGTATTTCCTACAATAACCAACCACCTGGAGTATCTTGAATGGCTCAGATCTTTGAGACATGGTGGAACAAACATAGACTGGAAGCACCAACCAGTCCATGTGGCCATGTTTTCAGCCGTCTCTGGCAAGTGAAAGCTGAGATCCGGGCCGAATGACTCTGAGCAACTCCTGGCAAGCTGGTCTCAGGCAACGAAAAATCCGGTCAACTGGTCTTTTTGCTTCGTGCAGAACACATGGGTTGAGGTCCACAGGTCCAGGGATTCAAGCTGTGGATCTAATCTGCACATCCTGATGTTCTTCTTCCATCTCGTCGTAATTCAACTCCTGCAAAGAGTGGAGCGAGAGAAGCTCCGCATGAAGAAGCAGCAATGGCCCAAATGGCTAATGGACATGGGACAACTAGCGAAACAATCCGTTGACAGCAGCCTTCATCTCGGTGTTCACCAAACTGGCAGTTGGAGGATCGGTGCCTGCTCAGCAATGCGCTCATTTTGCACCCGCAGGGTCTACTTCAGAAATATACATTAAGTATTAAGTTCAATAATTGGAGGCATAGCCTGTTTACCCTACTTGCAACGACTCAATATCCTTACTCATTATGCACGTAGGTTGAAACATCAAGCACAACTCTGGTCTCAGCACGTTGAGTCTCCAGCCAAGATAGGTGACCTGCAATTTGCCCTTGCTATCCATCAGCACCATCATTCCTGCAGGCACCACTTAGGCAAATGCAGGGAAAATCGACCAGAAAATCCGAGGATACCGTCCAAGGCTCTGGGGGAAATGCAAGAAAAATCTACATATCATCCGCAGATTCTTGGTGAAATAGAATCATGCGTAATCCATACAGTAAGATCCACATGTTCCATATAAAACCGCATCCAAAACCATGGCACAATTCGGAAATCCGGCGACCTCTCACACCGCCAAGTGTGTCTACACAAATTTGAGCTGGGACCTGGGCCAGATTTCAAGCTCAAGAGGTGATGTATGCTTTTTCAGCATGTTTAAAACTGGGTTTACGGTTTACGTATTAAAACTGGAAAAGTAATCCACAAAGTGTGATTGTCTACTGTTTCCTGAGTAATTTGTTGGTATTTGTGATATTTGTGTAAAACAAAAATCCGCCCACACCGCTTTGGCGGTGAAGGCGTGCTTATTGGGGGGCAAAACAGCAACACTAAATGCTCAATGACATTTGTTAATATAGCAGTCGCTATATCAGCTTTAGCTGGGGGGGGGGCCCAAAAACGATTTCGCACCGAGACCAGAATACGGTGGTGTTTTCGACATTTTTCGAGGATTTTTGGGTGTCTGAGCGCAAGAGGGTATTGAAATGGAATTTTGGGTCATTTTGGTAGCTTTCCGGCAATGGAAAAACGGCCAAAAATGAAAAAAACATTGTACATAGCAAGATTTTGCAGGGTTTTTGGATGCCAGAGCATTGAAAACACTGCAAAAACAAGTGTTTTGGACTGACGTTATAGCAAAAAACGTGTAAATTACCGTATGCTTGACTGGAAACATTACAAAAACCACTGTCAAAAGCAATGTTTTGGAAGGATTTACTGCCTTTATGGCAAAAAACGTGTAAATTACCGTCTGTTTGACTGGAAACATTGGAAAAACACCGTCAAAAACAATGTTTTGGAAGGATTTCTTATATATATGTTGGAGTTGGCTACCGGCATTGGAACATGGAAAAATTGAAGAAAACACTGTAAATAGCGGTATTTTCAACGGTTGGGGAGATAAGGGAATTGGATGCATTGTCGAACATGATGTTTTCGACCGGTTTTATGGCGACAAAAGTGTAAAGTACCGTGCTTTGAAGGAAACCATTGCAAAAACATGGAAACACATTCAAAGAACACGGGATTTGGGGGACTATCTAGGCGTCGTTGTCTAGCTATTTGAAATTCCGCAGCTTGGAGAGCCTCCAAGGGAGGGAAAAGTGAAAATTCCATAGCTTGGGAAGCTGTCACGGCGGGGAAAAGTGAAAATTCCCTAGCTTGGGAAGCCCCCACGGGGGGGAAAAGTGAAAATTCCCTAGCTTGGGGAGCCCCCACGGGGGGGAAAAAGGAAAATTCCCTAGCTTGGGGAGCCCCCACGGGGGGGAAAAGTGAAAATTCCCTAGCTTGGGGAGCCCCCACGGGGGGGAAAAGTGAAAATTCCCTAGCTTGGGGAGCCCCCACGGGGGGGAAAAGTAGCTTGGGGAGCCCCCACGGGGGGGAAAAGTGAAAATTCTTAGCTTGGGGAGCCCCCACGGGGGAAAACCACCGTTAGCCCCTCTCACGGACCGAAATAAACCTGCGGTGTGGGCGGCCACCCCACGCGAAGCGGGGTGAATAGTTTGCAGTAAATGTAGATATTGCAGTACGAGCATGTGCCAGCCCAAATCAGACTCTGCAACGAACACCTGAGCAATAGTAAGACACAGCTTCTCAACTTCAATTCAATACAACCATTTATCGAAGACATTGGTGACGTTCGTCACTGCGGATATCTTGCTGTGTCCTTAGCTCTCGGCTATACCCTGCAAGCGTGCGCACCACACAAGCTGCATTTCCTTCAAGATCAACAAGTGACCTTGGTCAAATCACTAACAGAGATGTCTCTTATTGTGCAAAACTGCGAGCTGAAATGGGTTTGTCTGACAATAGGTACATATAGGATCATATAGGTACCCCCAAGCTTGTTGGTTTATCATGGTTTATCATGGTTTATCATGGTTTATGTTGGTTTATCATCATTCTCCCAATTCAAATCGCAGAGATTCGCAGAGGAAAAGGGTGTACGACAGTACGACATACCCTCTCGGCCGTTCCTGAGGGGCCAGCCAGTATTTGTGCCGAGCATCAAGTTGTGGCTTGGCAATGCCTTGCCGGGTGTACACTCAGGTAATCAAACTTGGCTAGCTGGAAAATCATGGAAAATCCCCGAAGCAAATGCGGGTCGAAATGGAAAAATCATTGAACCAACAATGACCTAAATGAGAAATTTAGTAGATTTCCATGTCTGATTGTCAGAGAGCCGGAGGGTAGGTGCTATAATCCCAACTAACCAGAGTTGAAATCATGTCCAAGCTCAAATGACTTTGCTTTATATGTGTTCACTATATTTCTCAGTGTTTACATGTGTTTACCATATTTTAATATGTTACCCATGTTTACAATACTTAGCCATATTATTTTTGCGTAATTTTGCGAGTTATCCAATCAAATATACCATCCAGCCATGCCTGATTCCCACAGGTCACAACGTCACCAGCTGGGCTTCCGAACATCCGCCGACTCCGGTGGCATCTTGTAAGCCACCGAGGCAGCTGAGCATCGCGTTTTGCGAGGTGCAACCCCAAAAATTTGCATGCACGGATTTATGGCTTTTATAGCCCAGATTAACACGAATATCCACAGATTATCAAAGATTATATGAATTATATGGCGTTTCTATCCCCCTTTTCAAACATGAAGGGGCCTAGGTTGTGCAAGTTTAAAACTTAGCGAACTGTGCAGTGGAAATTGGGCTCACACTTTTGACGGACACCTTGACTGGGCAACCGACTGATGCCATACTCTGCCAGGCGCTTCTGCAAGCGGATTCCGCCACTGTCCTGCAGCGCTTGCTGCTGCCTAAGCCCCTGGGCACCACAGATTCTGTTCAATCTGACTTGCAAATCATCCGTGTCAAAACTACAGGGACTCCCCACCACAACAGGACCCTTTCGAGGCGCAAAAAACATCAAAAAACCATGGGTTGTTTAAGGATCTCCTTGAGGGTGAAGATGGTCTGTTCGCCCACCACCAGGATCTCCTGACGCCAAGTTGTTGGTGCTTCCACGAAACAAGAAATCTATAGAAATCTCAGTGGATTGCAGATCTTCAGTTTGGGTCCTGCTGGCTTGCAGACAGAGATCGTGTAAATCGCACCACTTCGATACTTCTGGCCTTACTTCATGGTGGCCACTCTCGTTTGGTTGATCATGGTGATGTATTCGATGGTCTATGTTTGTGCACAGCTTCTGGGATCCCAGCATGCTCGCCAATGTTGGTGGACCAATCCACCTTGCTTGAAAGGATCTGAAGGGAATGGCATTGATTTAAAAACGACTCCATGATGTTATTCTTATCAGCATCTTCTTCCAATGTATTTTGTACTGTATGTTTCGTTGATGGTCTTAATCCCCCATTATCATCAGTGCCATCATCAAAAATACAGAAAGTAAGAAACGCATAGAAACGCCTGAAACTGTAAACCAAATCTTCAAACACAAACTCTGAGCCATCTGCTTGGACTTTTTTGCCCGAACCACCTTCACCTTCCAGCTTTGTCTTGTTCACAGCGGATCATTCAACCCCTTTGAGTTGTTCAATGGCTCAGAGGATGGTCATCCATTACTGAACATGTTTCATCTTGCCTTTATGAAACCCCATTCATGTGCAGGTTATGACCTGTTTCCCTCCAAATTGAGCAGTATTTCAAAACCCTGGCTGACCGCTGGCCGGATAAACCAGTCGTGGGTCAACAAAATCAGCAACCATCAACGATCCACTGCATCCCTGTGATTGCGGGTTTTTCAAGGGTTTTCCCCCACATAAATGAACTTTAAAAATGGTTAAGTCATGTTGAGTCTCCGTATGAGCCATGAAAAATACCCTCCACTTTACTGGTTGGTTAGGAAATATTCCTACTATTGCTTTTAATAATCCCGAATAAGCCAGTGAATATAACCTCCAACAAATTCACTCATCAACAGAGGTAGCCTTAACGGCTCATATCTCACTGCTCAATCGATCAGGGCCAGACTCCACCTGGTGCTTGATCCACATTGTCAGCCGCAGCTGCTAGAACCTGAAGAGCCAGATGCCAAGAACGCCGTAACGCACCATGGCCACCATGGCTGTGGGTCAATCGGGCTACCCGTTTGGACCCACAAAACTTATCTTCATAGTATGCATAGTTGATTCAATCAGATTCAGTTTTAGTTTTCAGGAATATTATATATATATATATTTGATGCCTTTGACCCATCGCCAGATGCTGATAGCTCGAAAACGCAAAGCATCCCAACGTGACTCCCAACATCCCAACTGACTGCATTTGGCATCATTTAGCCTTTGCAAGCTGTGAAATGAGCAACCTGTTAAATCTCCAGGAAAAAATCATTATATTATATACATATATATATATACATAATTCATTGACCCATCCCCGGAGATCAGCACGGCGCAGCCTGATAACGATATGCCTCTATACACATTGCATTCGTGCCTCAGTTGCATAGCAGCGCTTGTGATCCGAGCTGTGGCTGCCGGCCCACTGATCCACTGCAGGTCCAAGGCACAAATGACAAAACTGTCGATCTTTGGCACGTAGCAAATTGGTCCAGGCACCCTGAGCAAGACATCATATGACATCGTATGACATCGTATGACATCGTATGACATCACTTCATCATCATGACACATCATATCAAGACTTTGGATGACGTTGGCATGTTGGGATTACTCTTCAGTCCTTTTCATTCAGAGCTGGATTTTCCTCCCCTAGACCCGAGTTCAGCTCCGGTCATCCTGGGAGGTCCGCACAAAAAACTGGAGGTGATCATCCTGCTGAAGGCAAAGGATTCCTGCTCGAAAAAGGACAGAACGCCATCCAAGGACCTCGCCAGCTGTGTCTCAATGAAGCTTACCATGGTGAAAGTCCTGTCACTGACATGAAACATGGGGGATGCAGGAATAATCATGATAGATTCAGACATCACATCACATCACATCACATCACATCACATTACATCACATCTATCTATATATATATATATTGAATCATATATATATATAATTATAACTAATTATATATATATATATAATTATATAATTTACTATGATGTGTGTGTGTATGTATGTGTATATATATATATATCACACATTTATACGTGTACATTTTTAAATTATGCTGGTGAGAGGGGGCGAGGGGTGAGAGTAGAACATGCTGTCAACTGTCCAAATCAAGCTTCCGGCTGGATGCAAAAGTAATCACGGTCTCGAACACCACCTAAGTCTCCAAACATGTGCCGTTTGGGGGTGCCCCATCCCTTTGCAATTTGCTCAGCAACAGAAAATTGCTGATGAGCAGTAAGCTGCAGGCCGAAGCTACCATAACACATGTTAAATGCGGGCCTGCACCAGGTGGATGTCGATTTCACGGCCCGTTTTCACCGCTCGGCTCACAGCTGACAGGTCCTTGTGAGTTTGTGCTCATAGGCAGGTGCCATGGAATAGTAGTTCACCGATGAGCCCGAAGAGACTGCAGACCTCGGTTAGCTACGGTTGTTATCATTCTCACTGGAAATTCTGTTCTTTCTGTGCTTTTCCCGTGGACACAGATATGCCTTATATAATCAAAAGATCACTCAATGGATTGATCTAGGAGACATTTACAGCAAATCATTGTTTTTAGCTCAATATTCCCTTAAACCAACTGAGGGTTGTGCACCATGTAGACTGACAGCTTCATCGGGTGTAGGAGCGCCATACAAATTTCCCGACCTTCGTGCTGTCAACCCTTTCAAATTGGGTATGGCCAAAAGATTTTCATATTTCTCACTCAATATCCAGACAATTGGATTATCATAAACTATCCAGAAAATGGATGATTTGGTAGAATCGATCAAATACAAGGAGTGGTAGCCCAGTTTTGAGCCGTAGCCAATAATTGGCTCCAACTGGCTCTTGACTTTTGACATGTCATTACCTTCCCAACATAAACCAAATCCATCCAAATCCGAACTTTCAATCAAGGTGTTTACTAGATTTTATTAGTTTACTGTTTGCCGCTAAAGTTTATCTAAGGACGTGTCTGTTCGTGGAGGCAGCGGTTTTGCGAAACTGTGCCACAGTTTGGGGCCATGACTGCCCTGCACAAATCTGCCAGCTTCTATCTGCAGGATGGGAGCCTCATAGCATCTCACAGCACATCAGCGGATACGACTGGACACAACTGGACCGGGTGAGTCGAATGTGAATTGGAATCCCAACATGTTGGGAGATTGGGCCCCTGAAGCAATTTCGTGATTTCTAGCTATATGATGTTATATGTTTGCACAATTCATGATGATGATGATGATGATGATGATGATGATGCTGATGATGATGATGATGATGATGATGGTGATGATGATAGTTCATTGATCATGAATTACTATATTATATAATATTGTTATTATTATCGTTCTATGATTATTGTTATTACTATTATCGTTATCATTGTTATGATTCTATATCCAATGATTATGGTTATATATCCAATGATTATGGTTATCGTCACTATGTGTGTCATGACATGTCCAGTGGTGTTCGTTCCCTCCCGGTCCTCCATATTACTCTCAAGGATGAGGTCCTCGATCTTGTACTCCTTTTGCTTGGGATAGTACCTGGGCAGCGAGCCCTGGATATCCCTGGATGCCATGACGAATTGAAACAATGGCCCCGCTGAAATGGAATGAAAAAATCCGAAAAAAAAACATAGCAATTGAAAATCCACTATGAACAAATGGAGGTTTTATGGGGCACTGTAGATCTTTAATTATCTCTACCAACTCAGGTTGTCAGGGCTGCAGGAAGACGTTTCAGATGTTTTAGAGCCGTCACTCTGCTTGGACTGCGCACACATGCACAGCTTTTTCAGGCAGCACGGCGCACATGCGAAGCATTCCCTGGTAGCTGCCAGTGATGATCTTGTTTGCACCAGTTGGCCTTGAAGCACCGTGCATCACCGTGCTGCCAGGTTTTTGAAAATGGTCTATGGGCTCCAAGCGAGCTCCTGGGTTCCCAACTCATTGTCCACATTTGCCACACAGAGGCAACCAACGTCAAACCTGAGTTGCGTGGAAAGCCGTAGACATATTGGGGCTAGGCCTCGTTGTGTTCATACAGAGAAAAATCAATTGATTCTATCCATGCCACTCTTGTTGCGTTTTTTTCGACATTGTATCAAGCAGTTCAACCACCCAAAGCCCCAAAAAGGAAACGTCCATTAAGAATCAATGATGTCACCCTCGCAAAAAATTGACATACCATGAAGTATGATGTTAATCTGTCAGCGCCTTTGAAAAAATCTGGGGATATGGGGTTTCTCAAAATTGCACTACCCCGAAGTCTGATTGTTGATCATCAGGTTCCCCATTAAAACAACAATGTTGGGGCATCCCATTGTTTGTACACACACACACACCCACTGTTGATTACATCCTCATACATCCTACATCTATATATACATATATGCATACATGCATGGATTATATTGTATGTCTCTATTACATCAACGAACCCGTACTATAGATGTTTTAAAAATATACAGTATTACAGTATATATATAATATACAAAGGTACCAGTATTATATCAACGAATCCCTCACGGGATATGTCAATTAGCCACTCTGAAAAAACCTAGCGCTGAGCCACTCTTCATCTTCGCTGACCTGGGTGCTCCACCACTCACGTGCCTCGGGGGAAGATTAACACTGCAGCTTTGAGGGGTTGTATTACCAAAATTCATTAAAAACACGTGTTACCCTAGGGTAAACTAACGTAGATGTGGAAAAACACGCATTTGTGGACTATTTTCCTGGGGAAACCATAGGTTTTCCATATCTACGTTAGTTTACCCTAGGGTAAACTATAGCAGTAATTTGGATTGCATGCCGATAAATTCTGGATTAGGATGGAATATGAGATAAATATAGATAAATGAATATAAATCAGATAAGTATAACCAAGGACCAAGGATGGTTTGGAGATAGCTTAGCATAGCTTAGCCACTTTGGAACCATATTTAAGCAACCATTAGTTGGACGCACGCCATAGGCCTGGAAAAGGCTCATCTGCCAGCCATACGCCCCGCCCAACGTCGCTCAGATCCCCAGGAGAAACTTGGCAGTGCTGGCATTCTGACTTCGTCTCAGCAACGGGCTTTGTGACTTCGTGGGCTTCTGGAATCCTATTGATTAGATTGTCATTTGTAAATTGCATTTGTAGCAATGGTTTTTTTTTTGAACAGCCGCCATCTGCAAATGCATCTTGATCTGGCTGTCTTGCTGTGATTCGTGGAACATGCTTGAGCAACTGCACACAAGTAGAAACTAAATGCCGCCACAGTAAAACACATGAACGCGACCCCCAAGTCTTTTTCACTTCAGGGAGTCAAGCCATGCATGAACGCCAATTTCCAGCATTCAGAGGCCCCGAAAAAAAATTGGTATGGCTTCAGGGGCCCAAAAGTTGGATGGTGTGATTTTTTAAAATTGTCGTCACAGTTCATCTGTGGTTCACATGATCCAAGATTTGGATCGTCTATAGAAAGTTTAAATCAACATTCTCATTGTATTGGTCCATGTCTGAAAATGATGCATTTAACCCCAAAGAATTATATGATATATGATATATAATATATAATATATAAAATATAATATATAATATATAATATATAATACATAATACATAATACATAATACATAATCTATATAATCTATATAATCTATATAATCTAGATAATCTATACAATCTATACAATCTATAATATATATATATTATATATATAATGTATAACATAATATATATAATATAAAATAATACATATATATAATATAACATAATATATATATGACATGTGATAATACTACACACATATATATATATGATAATACATATATATATATATATCATGATATATCTAATATATGTAAAAATATATAGTAGATGTGTATAGAATAATATATATATATGTGATATTATATATATACACATTATATATACATTATATATACATTATCTATACATTGTATATACATTACTTACATATTATATTTACATTATATATACATTATATATACATTATATTTACATTATGTATACATTATATATACATTATATATACATTATATATATACATTATATTATATTATATATATATATATTATTTTATATATTATATTATATATATTATATTATATATATATTATATTATATATATAATATTATATATATTATATTATATATATATTATATTATATATATAATAATATATATAATATAATATATACATATAATATAATATATATAATATTATATATAATTTAATATATATAATATATACATTATATATTACATTATATATATTATACTATATATATTATATTATAATATATTATATTATATATATATTATATTATATATATTGCATTATATATATATTATATTATATGATATAGTATATATTATATTATATATTATATTATATTATATATTATATTATATTATATATTATATTAGATATTATATTATATATTATATTATATATTATATTATATATTATATATTATATTATATATATTATATTATATATATTATATTATATATATTATATTATATATACTACATATGCTATTGCATTCTATATAGCCTAAACAGGCCTAAACCCTTCTCTTGAAGCACATCAAAATGATGGCATTCACCCCGGACTCTGAGACGGTGATGGTCAAGAACTAAAACAACAATATACTATTAGCCCAGCCATTGTCATTGAGAAAACAGTGATGAATCAGTGCACGACTATCATTCTGAGCCTTGAAGAGTGTATCACCTACCACGGGTTCAAGGGACACAGAAAGGACGCGTTTACCAACTAGAATATCGACAAAATATGGAACAAATGGATATAAACATGGCTCTATTGGTCTAATTTTACCCCTGGCAGAAGAGAGTGTTGAAAACCATACCCAAAGCAAGGTTCTACATTGTTGGGTTTACCACATTCCCTGAGAGGGGTGGATGATGCACGCATGGAAGATATGTCAAAATCATCTAAGTTTGTATGTTGCTCAGAACAATGGTATCAAAGGGACCATAAATTTGGTCATATACTATATTATACGTTATACGTACCAATGATAGCATGGGATTCTTTTGGGGAGTCCAATAGCCATTTCCATATACATATGGTCACATTGTCAGGACCGGCAGGCTCCTTTCGTGTTCATTCGACCCCATTGACAAACACACTTTGCATCAAAATTCAGGTACATCAATGCGCATCCACGTCAAAAATTGGCCAGAACATGCCAGAAACCCTCCAAAAAAAGAAGCCGAAGAGTATTTCATTGGACGGTAGTTCAGTGAGGTTTTTCCAGAATGTACAACTTTTCTGGCTGACCTCCGATGGAGCTCCTGAAGGCCTGGCATCAATTTTTTCAGCGAGCTGATAGTCTGTGGCTGAAAAATGGAATGGACCCACACTGTGATGGTATATTTATTTATATGAATTGTATATGAATCGTATATATCTATTATTATCTATTTGGGATCAAGCGCTGAAATTCTGGAAAATTGAGCCATGGCAAACCATTTAAATTCTGCAAGAATCAACTTGATTTTGGCGGGTGGAATATGAAATATATTTCCGCTCATGGGAGACAAATTAAACTATGAATGTGCCAAACCGAGGTTTACCAAGTTTACCGACGTGATATGTAGACTCTATAGACAAAATTAAGGTCCTGGGACCCTCGATCCATACCCACAATGACTGAGTATAAAGAAGGAATATCATAGAATATTAACCAACGAAAACGATCCGGGAGATCTCAGAACTGTGCAATTGGTCGATATTGGGACACATTCACCAACTAAGGGCTGCTAACTCAGGTTGATCCAATGCCAACCATGGCAGCGCCGCGGTGTTCCACCAGTGTCTTCGCCGTCCAGCCTTGGAAGTGTCCTTCGTTTCTAGATGACTCTTTTGTGGAAAAATAAAGAGATTGCCCATTTGAAAATGATGAAATCATCTGAAATCACATGAAATAACCAGTTTGTGATACGAAACATCTTGGTACTTGAAGGCAATCCCTGTTTTTCTGCACTCTGCTTCGACCATTTCGCAATCATCGACGCATCCAACACATCTGAGACCGCAACGAGATGGTTGCCATCAGAGCCGTAGCCTAGACCAAAAAAAGGAGGCGCTGCAGTGCTCATGGCAATTCAGCTGATTAAGATTGATGAAGTCTCTCTTTTCATAGGCGAGGGCAGCGTTGCCACTCATCTTGATGCTATGTACAGTACTGGCCCGGTCGCGTCCGGTTTTCCAGCACGTCAGGTGCTTGTGCACCAGCTTCAAACCAGAGGGGGTTTGTCATGCAGTCGCTACAGTCAGACTGCAGCTGTTAGATACATCGAGCGTCATCAAGGCGTGAACTCTTCGGAACACCACCACATCTAGGTGAAGTAGTGCCGCAAGTCTTGCTGGCCCCCCAACTGCAACAACTGCCGCGCCACGTTGCGTTGCACATCTGGGTGGCTGCCCCAGTTGCTGGTCAGGTGCGAAATCCTTCGATCGTTGCTGTCCGAGGATGCATCCGAAAATGCCACCACTGATCTCAAGGCGGTGGATCCACTGAGCCGAGAACCGTGACAAAGAATGGATTGCTCACAGGTGGCCAAGCTTAGATCCCAATTCAATTCTAAGGCTGCTTCTGAAACCGTCCCAATGGATAAGGCGTCAGGGATGGATTTCACCACGGGGAACTTTTCGCTGCCTTCAAAGACACGTAGGGGCTCCTCCTGACCCATGCTGAAGAGCATGAGTCTGTCAGATGAACCATATCTTTTGGAGGACCTCAGGGGCACTCATTCAAATGTCCGAGTCAAAATAATTCAAATGTTCAAATAAGATGTTGTGTATTATCACAATTTGTACATATACATATACCTATTATATAATCATATATTAATCATACATATTTTGTGTATATATATATATATCTTATTATAATATTATCTAATGTTATGATTATATAATATATATGTTCCAACATCACCCAACCACTAAGATAGCATAAGTATATAATCTATCATCTTGATTATATCCACCAACCATCATATCCATGTATTCCGCCGACCGGCATCGGAATCCACACAACAATGACATAGCGATAATGTGGTAAACCTAATTGCAATGGATGATAAATGAACGATCAATGGATAATGAATGAATAGTTACATAATGGATAATACCGGAATTACTTTGGGACTTTGGGACACCCGATGCCATAAACCATTCCCAATGACTTACTTGTATATGATTTGAATCTTGTTTCAGACTCATGCCCAAACTGATTGTTGGATTTCCCACATTAACCTATTTCCAACCCTGGTTGCCTTCGCATCAGCGGAAATCTCAACAACGCGCCAAAGACTTCTCCGGAGAAGGACTCACAGACCAACAAATGCATGCGTCCGTAGGCAGCGGTCTGCCTCAGCATACTGGCCAGACTGTTGCCATGATATCTGGAAGAGAAGCATAGGAAGGCTGCTTGTAGATCGAATCCTGGGTTTGCAAAGATGCCCCTTTTAAAAAATATTAAAAAATCTCTCATCTTCCCTGCGTAGAGATTCCTTCAAAGTAGTCCCAATTTATATAAATGGTGGATTTACTATGGTTTACATTGATTTACCAGCAAATCTAAGGATCCTTTGATCATGAAGTGGATCTGCAGTTTGTGAAGGCCCAGCCGCAGCTTTTCGGCCGCTCGCATGTCAAAATGGACGAATTTGTTGAACTTTTGCTTGGCGCCACAGGCGCAGGAGCCCGGAAGATGTCGGCGAGCATGACAAACATTGCAGAAGCGCAGGTTCGCGATTGCAACCCGATCGAAGACAGAACAGCCATCAATGTCGTCAAACTCTTCCACTTGGTTTCGAACCTGAAGGGATCTGGCTAAAATGATCCATCTTTCACAAACTTAAAAACGTTTGACTTGATGATGATCTCTCCTGATCAACACCGTTCATTGCAAGGATGTCCTTTCAGTGAAAACTACAGCGGTCAGTTTGGTACCATCTATACATAGGTTGTTCAATGGAGGTTGTCTCTCCATTCAATCACCAACCAGCGGGGAATTTTGGATATCAGTACATACCCATACCGTCCATATATGGTTTATTTGCCTACATTTTGGCCCAGATCTTTTTCCAATAAAGGTGAAACACATATATCATATATCAATCAATATATATATATATATATCGTATAAACACTCCATACATGGATGCTCTGGAAGAACATGGATCGCTTGGGGTGAAGACCTGCAAAGGGAAGAGCTTGATGTAGAAGTGTTGCCAAAAGGCATCCGCTGTCAGCATCTCTCGTAACTTCACACTACACCGCATGACGTCGTGAATGGTGGGCAAGACCAGAAACTCCGTGATGACATGTAAGACCTCCCGATGCTGGAAAAAACTGCTGTGTTTCCAAGGCAAAAAAGAAGATACCTTGAGTTCCAACATATACACCGTGAATGGATCAGGAGCTAACATTGAATCCCGCAAATTCGCTGGTCACCTCCAAAATCTTTGTCCTGTTTGCTATCATTGATGTATGCTACCCATTCTTGGATGTTCCGGGTCTCATTTGGGGTTGTCTGCACATCATCTTCCCCAGCAGAATTGTCATATAACGCCCAATACCATGTGTGTATATACATATATATATATATACACACACACATTAGGATCACGCTGAAATACCTGATTTGGGGGTTTCCACAAATTGGGGGATCCTATTCAAATGGTTGGTTTAATGGTTGGTTTATGTTGGTTTATAATGTCAATGTACATATTCAACATGTCATATCAACACTGGCCTGTGGTTCAAGGCCTTGAGTCAACTCCTGTTGACAACATACAGATTGAGTGCGTGCAACAGCAAAAGGTGCCGACCGTTGCAGCTTGACAACAGTGCTTGAAACATCTCGCACTTTTACATGGTAGCGGAGCTCTGCCTTACCAGGGGCATCTCCAAGCAACAGCAGTAAACAACAGGCAGAGGGCTTGATCCCAGAACACTGGGGGACTCTCAACAATTACTGTGCACAACACCCAACAAACAACACACCAGACAACAGAGGAAGCAGCAGCTGAACAACAACACTCTGACAACAGGGAGAAGCCTTGATCCCAAGACATTGGAGGAGCTTCAACAAAACTTTACAAAGCAACAATGGCGGCATCACCAACAGCACCACTAGAGGATCAGACAGAAGCGTTGGCAGCAACACACCGACTCAAACTCAAGCCCCCAACATACGATGGCAACTATTCCACATTTGAGGAGTGGAAATACAAATTCACAGCATACATGGGCCTCATGGACCCATTCTACCCCAACATCCTACGACGTGCAGCAACATCCACACAACGACTTACAGAAGCAGACTTGAGAGGAGCAGCACAGAACATGGAGGAAGCCGACAGATGGGTACAACTAGACAACAACTTGAAGTACATACTTGTGAACGTAACAACAGGAGCTGCAGCAACAGTGTGCAGACAGTATCAACATGAGATGGGACTTGAGACCTACAGGCAGCTCAGCAACAGGTTTGCCATACCATTAGGAACAAGAAGCATAGGGTACCTAACAAAGCTGCTCAAGCCAACATTTGACAGCAACAACTTCGAGGAGTCATTCTCCAACTGGGAATTCGAGCTCTCAAGGTATGAGAGAGACAACAACACAGCACTACCAGACCAAATCAAAATTGCAGTCCTGATGAACGAGACATCAGGCCCACTGCAACAACACCTGCACTTAAATGCAGGAGCAACACCAACATACGTAGAGGTACGTGAAACAATCATGGAATATTACAGAGCCACCACAGCCCTCAGCAGGCTACACCAGCAACCTGGGACATCCAGCGTCTCAACACACGCCCAAGGAGGACCGGCACCTATGGACATTGGAGCTGTCAACAAAGGATACAAAGGAAAGTACAACAAAGGAAAAGGAAAGAAGCCCAACAAAGGAAAAGGAAGGAACAAGAGCAACAAAGGCAAAGGATATGGCTACGGATACAACAAAGGCAAAGGAAAGATTGGGCAAGGAATGCAGCCCAAAGGATCCAACAACAAAGGAGGGTACATAGGCAAAGGCAAAGGCAAGCCAACAGGAAAAGGAAAAGGGGTCCCAACGCAAGGATGCTACAGATGTGGCCAACCAGGTCACATAGCAAGAGACTGCCGTGTGGCAGTACACAACCTCAACGAGGTTACAACCAACACATACACTGGCCATTGGCAAGGTGATGCAACAACCCAATGGTATCAACAACAACAGTACTATGACGGCCAATGGTGGAATGATGACCAAACACAGGTCAGCGCACTGCCACAGCAACAACTGGCACTCCCACCAACAAGCGCGCAGGAACAGCAAGTTCCACAACTCCACATAGCAGCCATTTCAATACAGCAGTCCAACAAGCAGCAGCCAGCAACTGAGCAACCGGCAAACACCACAGAAGATTTGATGATTGACAGTGGAGCAGCCACACATGTTTGCCCACCATGGTTTGCCCCAACATACAAAACATATGAACTTCACCCAGAACAAGGCCCAAGACTTACAACAGCAACAGAGGAAGACATCACAGTCTATGGCTACAAATGGGTGTACATGAAGAACAGCAAGCAACAACCGATCGTCATACCCTTTTATGTGTGTGACGTGTCACAACCCATTTTGTCAGTAACAAGACTGGCATCACAGGGTTTCAACATCCAGCTTAGCGATAACCCAACAATCACCAACACCAACGGCTTTGAAGCAACACTGAAGCAACAACAAGGACTGTATTTTCTTACAGTCAACATCAGGCCAATGCCAAGCAACATGAAGCTCGACATATGTGAGACGTCACATGGCATTCGAGCAACAGTGTCCCCAGTGACAATTACACCAACAGGACCTGAATGGGTCACACACAACAACGACATTTGGATATACAACAGCACAGGATATCTGGTGAGGGTACACAAGAGAACAAGGAAGGCCCTCTTCACACCAGATGCACAATGTCCAGTTCCAGAAGAACAGCTGGACAACTACAGAAGAACAATAGCATACAAGCCAGATGGAACACTTGAGGACTTTGAGGACAAATACAAAGACCTTCCACAACAACGACAGAACAGAAGACTTCCAGGACCAGCATGGTCAGGAGAAACATGGTTCAGAGTCAAAGAGACAACAAAGCCTCCAGCACCACCGTTGCCCAAGGCATCAACAGCAGCTTCAGCGCCAGCATCAGCAACACCAAAGGCATCGGCAGCCAAGGCAACGACACAGCAACAGCAGCAACAAGCTCAGCAGCCTACAGGATCAGCAGTTCGACACAGAGAGAAGAAGCCAGTGGAACAACCTTTGGTACCACAGCAACAGCAGCCCATGAAGCAACAAGCATATCCAGGAACAGCAGTTCCAGGACCAAAGGACACACCAGCAACAGCAGACTACTGGATCAAAGAAGGACAGTACTGGAAGAGAGTCCATGTACAACAACGGACTCAGCTTTACATCCCACAACAAACAATGGATGGTCCAGATGTCACAAAGCTATTGCCACAAAGACAAACAATAGTTAAGCCAACATCAGGAGCCAGAGGATACAGGATTGATGATGACTGGACAACAAAGACCTCAGCAACAATGAACTTCACATGGACAGGTTCAACAAACTTTGAGGAGAGCACGGCGTTCAAAGAGGAGTACTACAACATCGATGAGGAAGAACATTTAGATGCCAGAACAGCAAAAGGCATCAAAGCACCAGAGCAGCCAACAGCACAAGAGCTACATGAAGCTCGACATATGTGAGACGTCACATGGCATTCGAGCAACAGTGTCCCCAGTGACAATTACACCAACAGGACCTGAATGGGTCACACACAACAACGACATTTGGATATACAACAGCACAGGATATCTGGTGAGGGTACACAAGAGAACAAGGAAGGCCCTCTTCACACCAGATGCACAATGTCCAGTTCCAGAAGAACAGCTGGACAACTACAGAAGAACAATAGCATACAAGCCAGATGGAACACTTGAGGACTTTGAGGACAAATACAAAGACCTTCCACAACAACGACAGAACAGAAGACTTCCAGGACCAGCATGGTCAGGAGAAACATGGTTCAGAGTCAAAGAGACAACAAAGCCTCCAGCACCACCGTTGCCTAAGGCATCAACAGCAGCTTCAGCGCCAGCATCAGCAACACCAAAGGCATCGGCAGCCAAGGCAACGACACAGCAACAGCAGCAACAAGCTCAGCAGCCTACAGGATCAGCAGTTCGACACAGAGAGAAGAAGCCAGTGGAACAACCTTTGGTACCACAGCAACAGCAGCCCATGAAGCAACAAGCATATCCAGGAACAGCAGTTCCAGGACCAAAGGACACACCAGCAACAGCAGACTACTGGATCAAAGAAGGACAGTACTGGAAGAGAGTCCATGTACAACAACGGACTCAGCTTTACATCCCACAACAAACAATGGATGGTCCAGATGTCACAAAGCTATTGCCACAAAGACAAACAATAGTTAAGCCAACATCAGGAGCCAGAGGATACAGGATTGATGATGACTGGACAACAAAGACCTCAGCAACAATGAACTTCACATGGACAGGTTCAACAAACTTTGAGGAGAGCACGGCGTTCAAAGAGGAGTACTACAACATCGATGAGGAAGAACATTTAGATGCCAGAACAGCAAAAGGCATCAAAGCACCAGAGCAGCCAACAGCACAAGAGCGTGCTGAACATGAACTCACACACCTTCCCTACAGGAGTTGGTGTCCAACATGTGTTCAAAGCAAAGGACGGGCAGACAACCACCCACGACAACACAGCAAACAACCAGTCGTACAATTCGACTTTTGTTTCTTCAAAACACTTGGAGAAAAGGAAACAACACCAATCCTCACAGGCATTGACGTGGAAACAGGCATGAGCATGGCAGTTCTTGTCAACAGCAAGACAGCAGACTTTCAATATCACGTCCAATGCATACAAACATTCCTCATGGAGTGTGGCAGAGTACAAGCTGTACTCAACAGCACAATCCTACAGTCAGATCAGGAGGATCACCTCATAGCACTTCTCAGAGCAACAGCAGCTAAGATGGGAGGAAACATCACAGTTCGACAAGCACCAACATACACATCACAAGCACAAGGCAGCGTCGAACGCTTTCACAGAACACTCATGGGACAAGTCAGAACACTGAAGTCCCAACTGCAGAACAACTACGACATCAGACTTACAAGCAAACATCCCATCGTAGCATGGATGGTGAGACACACAGCTTACCTGCTCAACAGGTATGCCATACATTCAGATGGCAACACAAGCTTCTTCAGGAGATGGCATAAAGAACGCAAAACACCACTCTGTGAGTTTGGTGAAACAGTTCTTTATATGTTGCCAAACTCAGCAGTCATTCCAAAGATGGAACAGCGCTTCATGCCAGGCATATGGCTTGGTAAAGACACAACATCCAATGAGAACCTCATTGGGATTTCCAACAAGGTTGTTCGAGCACGAACAATCAGAAGGCTTCCGGCACCAGAAAAGTACAACAAGCAACTGATGGACGTGATCAACAGATCACCAACACTCCCATACACCACTGGTGGACCATACGTTTCAAAACCACCACTGGTCTACAAGCCAATGAGGAGACCAGCAACTGCAGAAACAGGCACACAAGCTTTTGGAGCAGACACAACACAACAGCCACAACTTCAAGCACAGCAACTAGCAGCACCGGCAGGTACATCAACACGATGTGCCATTGCAGACTCACCAATGGCAACAGCACCAACAAGCTGTCACACCAGACCATCACTTCCATCACCAAAACGAACAGTTTCAGACGAAGTGGCAGAAGGCAGTCTGCCAAAGCAACATCGAACAGCAGAAGCAGCAACAGGTCCAGCAAGGCCTGACACAGCACAAGAGCCACCAACAAGCAAACTAAGAATCACAAAGGTCACAATTCAAACAAAGAAAGGGGTCGAAATCACAGCATACACTTGTGACGACATCACAGAAGAACAAACAGAGAAGATCCTTTTGGAACCAATGGTCAACAACACAGAAGGATTCGACAAACAGAAGACCATTGAAGGAATGAAGAATGAGATCGATTCCATGAAGAAACAACAGGTATACATGGAAGTCGACATCAACACTCTGACCCCAGAACAAAGGAAGAACATCATACAGTCAAGATGGGTTCTCAGAGACAAAGGCAACAACGTTCGTGCAAGAATTGTAGCAAAGGGCTACACAGAGGCAGTCAACGACCTTGATGACATCTATGCCTCAACACCTATCTTTTGCGTCCTGAGAACACTTCTCACTATCTGCCTCAACAGAGGTTGGATCGCCAGAACAGGAGACATCTCAACAGCTTTCCTACATGCCGCAGCAGCTACAGCAGACTTGTACATGTATCCACCAAAAGAGTTTTACAGACCAGAGGACAACATCATCTGGAAACTCCTCAAAGCAATCTATGGACTGAGAAGCAGTGCAAAAGCTTGGCAAAACCACCTTGCAGAAGTCCTACAACAACTTGGACTTCAACGCAGCACAGCAGAGCCCAACATCTTTATGACACCAACAAGAGATTGCTATATCCTCGTCTACGTCGATGACCTTCTCTTCCTAGGAGAACAACAAGTGGTGGACAAGCTCTTCACAGCAATTCAGCAACACCTTCTTCTTCGACCAACAGGTACACTTGAACCAGGGAAGACAGTCTCCTTGCTTGGACGCAGCATCACCAACAATGGTGATAGCTACGATATTTCACTATCGCAGGACTACGTGGCCAACATCTTGGAGGAGAACAACATGCTGAACTGCAACCCAGCACCGGCACCAGGAACATCAGCCTTGAAGGCACCAACAGCTGATCATGAACAGCCTCTTTCAACAGACGAACATGCAGCCTACAGGAGAACAGTAGGTAAACTACAATGTATGACATACACTCGTCCCGATATCAGCTACGCAACAAAGGAGCTGGCCAGAGCATTACAAGCACCAACGACGGCAGACCAACAAAAGCTGAAGCACCTTCTTAGGTATCTCAAAGGAACACAACACTACAGGCAGGTCATTAGACCAACAGCAAAGATACCTCCAACACAGATTCCAGACCTCAACATCTATGTGGACAGCGACTGGGCAGGTTGCCCAGAAACGAGGAGATCAACAACAGGTTTTCTCATCACACTACTTGGAGCTACAATCAACTACGGCAGCCGAACACAGGCAACAATAGCACTGTCAAGTGCTGAAGCAGAGCTATACGCCATCAACACAGGAGCAACAGAAGCACTTCATTTGCGCAACCTCCTCATGGAGCTCTTCAACGTCCAGAAGGTCAACATCAAGATTCACACAGACTCGTCAAGCGGCAAGAGCATGGCAACAAGGATAGGATCGTCAAGAAAAGCAAAACACATTGACCTGAAACATCTCTTCATACAACAACTGATCTCACATGACATCGTGAGACTCAATAAGATTCACACAAACGAAAACCCAGCAGACATTTTCACCAAATACATCTCAACAGAAACACTCCACAGACACCTGCAGGCAGCTGGGCTCAACACCCAGCACCACATCCACTAAAGAGTGGATACAGCAACAGCAGTTTCACAACACCCGGGCAGCTAATGCACTATGCGCACGCGTGCACAACTGCGTGAGCAAACAATGCACACACAGACACACACACACGGACGCGTTTGAGCCATGACCGATGTCATCAACAAACGTTGATGAACATCTCCCTTGTTTCGTTTCATCCAGTATTTCAACAAGACCTTTTTTGGAATCCCAACATGGTGATCTATTTCGACTATCAGCATCAACATCATTGACTTAGTCAACATGATTTCCTTTTTTGCAGGATGACTTATTTCAACAAGATCCTTCCCAACGTGAAGGTCAACATGTCTTGTGACGCATGATGATGTCAACACCGTTTGTTGACAACAGTCGTGTATTCAACTTTTTTTTGTGCAGCCATTTTTGTGTCAACAGAACTGGTCACTCAACAGTTGTGGGCACTCAACAGGGAACAAGGGTTCCTCGACATTTTCAACATGCTCAGCTGGTCAAACAACTTCATTTGGAGTTACAACACTCCTGTGAATCTGGCAACAGTTGGAGATGAGATCCCACAACATCTCATCTATATGCTTCAACAAGCCATTCAGTACGGTGGCACTCAACAACTGGAATTTCTTGCCAGAGGCAGCAAGGACCAAAATCAGGATGATCCTCAACAAGTGGCATCCTCTCCTTGAAGGAGGACAACAATTCCAATACTTTGGTGTGAAGACACCAGAGAGGTTGAGGGGATCTTCAACACTGGCATTATGGCTGATGGAGCAATCAACAGATGAGCACCTCCAACAGCACTTCGATGAAGTGAACAAGTATCGTGAGCCAACCGGCATGGAAGACAACATGGAAGAGAACAACGCAGAGTGATCAACAATGATCACAACAGGGGTGGAGCTCAGACAACATCCCGGTGCAGAAGCACCAAAACAACAGAGCCCTGCGCAACATGACGCTCAGCACATGAGAGCTTGAAGTGCGCATAATTAAGCAAGTGTTTTTTCGTCCAACACCTGCGGCTGCAACAGGTGTATAAAGATAACCAAGCCATCGGCATTTGTACAGAGGATGAACCAACACTCATGCATGAGTAGTCAACATAATGCTGTTTTAGTTTCAACATGTTTATAGTTTCAACATTAGTTGCAACATTTATTGAACACAGACCCATGTAGAATATATAGTCAACATCTGCTGGCTAACATAGCCAACATCTGAGGGGTCGTGTCAATGTACATATTCAACATGTCATATCAACACTGGCCTGTGGTTCAAGGCCTTGAGTCAACTCCTGTTGACAACATACAGATTGAGTGCGTGCAACAGCAAAAGGTGCCGACAGTTGCAGCTTGACAACAGTGCTTGAAACATCTCGCACTTTTACATATAATGGAACATCCTATTAAAAATGGATGACTGGATGGGGTATCCTGTGGCATCATTTCAGGATGGCCCCCGACCTCTGGCGGGAAAACGGCCAGCGGCACTCGGCTGGAAGATCTGTCGATGTCCGGCTGGGGAAAGAGAAATGCACAAAGGTCTTCCACCTATCGCCACGGGATCGACTCGGGCCAAAAACGGAGATTTTCTCAACACAACTTAGCAAGAAAAATGGGGATATCAGCAAAATGTGAATGAATGTGAAGGGGACAAACAACAATTGGGATTCAACCAACGTAAAGTTGCGATTTAAGCTGCAAACCTCCGGGAAGGGCATTCCTAACTCTTTCAATGGTTATTTCTTTAGTGTCTCAATGGCGACATTTGGACAATATGCGTACAGATGCGTACAATATGAGTCAAGGTACCCAAAGTTTACTCCCAACAATGGACTGTCTTGATGATCAGAAAAACATAGAAAAACATGATCATTCAATTGGCCGGTTGCAGCGACCAAAAATGACCAACATCTGTGGTCCGCAGTGCCAAACATGTTGACAAAAATCGTTCGGGTCCTTTCAAAATGTCAAACTCCCAAACCCGGTGGTTAATCATGATTTTTCCATAAGGTTCCATAAGTTTCCCACTAAATTGCCATAAAATGCTGTCTATTTTGAAACAACCCTAGATCCCCTCTGATCCCCCCTGATTCCCTCTCCGCTTTAATCCCTGACCTGATCCAGGCGCATAGTAATGGTGCAGGTCAACGGCTCACAACAGCAGAGCCTTTGAAAGACTTTGGTCATCCAGTTGGATCTACTGAGCTCCAGGTGTCTTTGACCGCGCCTCACATGGAGACGATTCAGGTCGAAGACGGTGGGGGGCTTGTGATCTGCAATATAAACCCGCAGATCTTCGGAACCCAACGTCACCACACATCGCCTGCGATTCCACATGCCCCAGGTTGAGAATCGACATCCTGGAGTACGCCGTTCGGCCACATTCAACAAGCAGGGCCTGATTGCTTTGAACTTCAGTGGAAATGCTGAAGCTTTTTCAGGCCTCTCGCTTTCTCTTGCCTCCCACTTTTTCTTCATTTGAGAGCCAAGTGTGGTTTTCTGAGACCACACAACTGGGAGGCATTCTGACCTTTTGAGCCGCAAATCGCAGCAGTGCAGCAAACAGTGCAGTTTTTTGTTGTATCATGTTTCAACCAAGCTGATGACTGAGAAAATTGTACACAACTGATGCAACTTTCCACATGTCACATTTGACCTCGACCCAACTCCCACCAGGCCTGAAGTTATCCTGTCAGTTGGAGAAACATCAGCTGTAAAGGAGGAGCCCAAAGTCACTCTCAAACGTGCATGCTTCAAAATTCGACCATATGTGGGGCCTCGCTGAATTTTTTGACAGATTCCAAGAGTATACTTGACGTGAAATTGCTGGCCTATTCTGCATCAGCATTGCACCCCATGACTCGGTCTGTGGCGATTCGCAAACATGACGGCCAACCACGGAATGAGTGGAGTCACGGAGGCTTCTAAAGCTTCTGTGCTGCCTTTTTCTCTTCTTTATTCCGGATTCTTTTCAAGTATCATCCCTATAAAACGACGGTTGGCGTCGCTTCCACAAGCGCCATAGTCTTACCATGGTGTCAATTCCCTATCTGCTGTGGAGCTTGAAATCCAAGCCACTGAACCTGCTCTGGCTGATGTAAGCTGCCATAACTCCCATCTTCCAGCAGATCCGAAAGGGCCAAACTCAGGCAGTTTTCTCCCTTAAGCATGTCTGGGTATTAGTCAAATCATGTCGAAACCTTGCTACCCTGGTTTTCACCTGTTTGCTTGGCCATGTGTCAAGCCCCTTAGGCTGTCGCTGTCTAGAGGAGTTGCGTTCAAAGGCTGGGGCCTTTTGACGTGCTGGCACTGGTCTGAGGCTTCTCCTTAAATAAACGGAGTTCCGATTTCATGGCGTGCAAGAGCAAGTTGTTGCAACGTGCTTCAACAACAGCCATGGCAGCAAGGGCATCTCTGACCCTGCTAACAAGCGGATAAAATGGTTTAACCTTCTTACCCTAGAGATTCCCCAACGGGAAAGGAACGATCCCAGACTTCTCTGGGACTCTGCTTGGTCTTTTGCAGAAAATTGGCGCTCATGCAACGTAGACAATTGAAGACTCCTGGACGGCTTCTGTCTGCGCGATATATATATATAATGTATATATATAATATAGTATAATATCATATATAATATCATATCATATACAATATAATATAATAAAATATAATATTATATTATATTACATTAAATATTATATTATATTGTATTATATTGTATTATATTGTATTATATTATATCATATTAAATAATATTATATTATATTATATCATATATTATATTATATTATATTACATTATATTATATTATATTATATATTATATATGATATATTATATTATATTATATTATATATTATTGTATATTATATGTATATATCATAAAATATTATATATATTATTATATATATATATACATTATATTATGTATATATATATATATACATATTATGTGTATATATATATATATTATATACACTATATACATATGTTTACTTCATTTTACTTCTTATTGACGTACCATGCTGGTCATCCCACCAACGTGAATGCGATTCCAAACACTTTTGGCACTGTTCAAAGCGGCTATTTGAAAAGTGACTACTGTAGTCACTGATTCCTGTAGACAGTGGCTAGCAATGGTTTTCTTTTTTACGGTCTATCCATCTGAATGCATGATAGAATCTGCTGATTGCGTAGGTTAAGTTGCGAAGAATCATTCATGATACCCTCTGGTAATCAAACACGGCTTACTGGAAAATCCCCCATTCATTGATGGTTTTCCATTTCAATGCCCATGAAAATCGGGTTTCCCAACTAGCCACGTTTGATGACACCGGAGGGTACATCCAAGAAGCACCCATTGGATACACAGGAGGAGACACCTCAGACCCAAGAATTGTTCGTCCTTGCCAATGAGCTCTCGCATTGAGGTCAACCTGTGCGAACAGCCCTGGATGGGTGATCCTGTTGATCTACAAGGAGGCTCTAGAACCAGGGATAGTCCAACCAGAATAGATATCAATTCTATTATGTTCTGTTATGTTGTGTATGTTCAGAAAAAAATTGGAGCCACAAACCGGGGCCAGTCACGATATGTTGTTTAATGTTTTTCCGTCTTGATGATCATGAAGGTTTGCTTTTTGGTTGTCATGTTTTTTCGTTCCCAGAATTGATCTTCATGGTTTTGATTTGCAACGTTTTGGTTTAGGCTTAAAATGTGCATTTTCATTTTTTAATGTTCATTTGTAATGGTTTTCTTATTCGTTCATGTTTTTTCTTCCGTTTTGGTTCTCGTTTTTCCTGTTTTCTAATTGGCCATTTTTGATCTGTCCTTTCATTGTGCTTCAACCCTCTAACAAAACCAGCAAAAACTTAGGCAAATGAGAAAAACAAAAATTACTTTACTTCGCGTGATCCCCACCATGACATTTATACATTGTCTTACTGGCAAATCTTCTGGCATTCTATCTGGCAAATCTTCTGGCATTCTATCTGGCAAATCTTCTGGCATTCTATCTGGCATATCTTCTGGCATTCTATCTGACATATCTTCTGGCATTCTATCTGGCTGGCATATCTTCTGGCATATTATCTGGCAAATCTTCTGGGATTCTATCTGGCATATCTTGTGGCATCCTATCTCACATTTTATCTGGCATTCTATCTGGCATACCTTCTGGCATTCTATCTGGCATTCTATCTGGCATATCTTCTGGCATATCTTCTGGCATTCTATCTGGCATATCTTCTGGCATATCTTCTGGCATTCTATCTGACATTCTATCTGGCATATCTTCTGGCATTCTATCTGGCTGTTGAGGTCCAGCTGTGCACACTGAGCTGGGCAGGTCCCCGGTTGAGGTCCAGCGGTGCACACTGAGCTGGGCAGCTCGCAGGTTGAGGTCCAGCGGTGCACACTGAGCTGGGCAGCTCGCAGGTTGACGTCCAGCAGTGCGCACTGAGCTGGGAAGTTGGCGAAGAGCTTGGCGACGAGTTGGCAAGGTTGGCAAAGCGGAAGTGGAGGTGGAAGAGGCGGAGGCGAGGAGGAGGGCGAGGAGGACAGCTAGTCGAGGAGGAGGAGGCGGAGGAGGAGGCGGAGGAGGAGGCGGGCATGCGCTCTGATAAAATCTAACAACCCTCACCTGGCAGGTGGGGAACAACAAAATGAAAAATGAAACACTAAAACAATAAAACAAAACGAAAGCGGAAACGAAAACCAAAACGAAAATAGTTTCAATTTCCAGCATCTCGCTTCGCCAGTTTTTTCTAATGCTATGTAATATCAAATCAATTCAAATCATATTGTATCATATCAAATCATGTAATATCACATCATATCATGGCATCATGTTATGTTATGTTATCTTATGTTATGTTATGTTATGTTATGTCATGTTGCATTGCCTTACACAGTATTCATTATGTTGCGTTAGGTTATGATGTATTATGTCATATTATGTAACAGCGTGTCATAGTTCATTGTGTTGTGCTATGTTATATTCAATCGAACTATGACACGCTGTTACATAATTGATGTGCTATGTTTATACTCAATGAACTATGTCATATTCAACTGTTAAGTCATCAAGGCCATCACATCGTCTAAGGTGTCGGCAATTTCTCTCTGGGTGTAGTGCAAAAACGCGACCAAGCCTTGGCGGGGTCATTTCTCCGGGAAACATATACGGGGAATGCCAGATGAAGGTGGGGAAAAACATAAATCGTGAGGATATATATACATTACAAATCATTATATATATATAGAGATTTATACATAGATTTATACATAGATTTGTATAGTTCTCGATGATTCTAACAGTGTATTATAGTCCAACAGAAATTCTATGACAACTCCAGAAATTGGGATCATGACCACTATGACCCCAGTAGTTCTTGGCTCTTCAGTAAGCATACTGGCAATTCTCGTTCATTCGAAAAGGGCTGAGACGTCGGCTGAAGGGAAGTGGTGTCCAATTTCCAAGCGGCCCTTCCTGAAAGCGACAAGGCCCGAGGCAAGTTTGAAATTCTCACCATCCCTCCCCATGTTTCACCAAGGAACCACCAGCAATCAAACGTGGGGATAAAGGGGCATCTAAATAGGAATTTCATTTACAAATGACTATTGCCAAGTTTGATTGCAGGAGGGTACGAGTACATCCAAGAATTTTTGTTGGACCGCCAAATTCATCATAGCAACATTAATTCATTGAGTTAATTCATTGAGAATCAACCACATAATCATTGGTTTCTGATTCACAATGTTCAACCATCAACTCTCTGTCAAATGGCATGTTCTTTAAAAAAATGAGCTTTAAGCCTACAATACCTACATATTTTCCATAGCGTACATGTTTTTTAAAGAAAGGACATCATTTCACCATCACCTGCTGAGTCTTTCCCAACCGCCAACGAAACTCCCGGCTTCTCAGCATCCCACGCCACCGCTGCTGGCCCTTCAAGGCCCGGCCACTGCGCCACGCGGCCGACGTCACCGGTCGACATCGAAGAGATGGCCGACGCGGCCAGGGTGGGCAAAGCAGCGGGAGATAACAAGGAGGGCACATACCTGGCATGCTGAAACCCAGTCGTGCTGCCCGGCTGGGTGGAGATCTAAAAAAACCATCATCTATGGTCATTAATGAATGGGTATAGTCAGTGGATTGGAATAATACACAATTTATATATTATACAATCATGTATAATATTTACATACTTCATGAAGGGTAGATGGGTGAGATTGCCAGAAATCATGGGGATATGTTGTTGATAATTGCTGGTTGGCTGATTCTCCTATATAGTTGGTTAGAGGAGCTAGTTTGACAGCGAATGTTTTGTTGACCAAGCAGGAAAATAAGTAAATAGGATAGTATGGAGTTTTCAGAGGTATTTTTCATGGCTCGGGTGGAAGTAAGAAACGCGAATCGAATTGGTGCCTTTTGACACCCTCGTGAAAAATATGTGAATCCTTCGGGAGGAAGCAATATGGTGCAAGTATAAGGAACGGCTGACAAGGATAGGATGGATAGAACCACCGATCATGATGAACATGCAACCAACATTAGTTCGGGCATGACCAGCAGAGGAATCTGGCCAAAAGGAACATGATGGAACTGATTGAATGCCAACTGCCAATAATCATCAACAATGTATGGTACAGGGACGAGAATGCCATGTTGCCTCGTGGAAGAAGAAAGGCTGACACATGCTGACGGCAATGCTATAGCTGCAACAGGAGCTATAAAGCAACCGAAAATCTGTGAAAGGTTTGTGATCCACCTCCAAAAAACACGAAACCACACTTCGATCACCTCATTCTGGTCGAAAAAATCTGGTTTTGGGAGTCACAAAAGAACTGAATATGTTTGAGGTTTCCTTAACAAACATCACGTTTTTTCACTGAAAAGTGAATGATAGTCCAACCACCCTCAGAGTGGGCAAACATCTGGCACCCCTGCTAATCCTATAGCACTATGGGGTACCAATTGCACCACACATTTGTCACTTTGAGTCTCAATTTCTCAATCTATCCTAACTATTCCTGACTATCAATTTCGGGGGTCAATAGTCGGTTCCCCAAGTGGAGCCATCCACCCATAGTTTGAGACAAACCCAGATCAGAAAAGCCACCTGGGAAGTGACAGCAGGTAGTCCCGGTAGTTCCGGTCCAAGCCATGTTTCCGCGCTCCGTTGCGCAACAGGCGCCAATAACGTTGCGACGGCGGCAGCAGGGGTGGAGCTTCGGCTTTGGCGTCCACGAAGGCGTAGGCAGTCTGCTTGGAGCTGCTTTGATACATTCCAACCTGCCCAGAAAAAGGCGTGAAAAAAAGGCAGTCAACTGGCGAACCAGGAAGATGCTGAAAAAATGGGGAGCTCAGATGAGTCTAAACCCTAAAAATTGTCAAAAACATGAGCCGATATGTACCGAAGAAAACTGGTCAAGACATGGAACCACCAAAACTATGGATTTCCTCACCAGAAAAAAGGGGCTCAAGGAATAGAAATTGGGATATTCGCCAGCGTGGGGATCTGCCAATTAATGGGTTCAATCACTAAGAAAATGGGCGGCCGACCAACAAAACCAGCCATCCAGTCGAAGGAAATTTAGAAGTCAAACTTCCGACAATATGGACAGATGAAGCAGCAGAGGTAGGAAGAGTTAGAGAAGAGAAGAGCAGAAGAGAGAAGAGCAGAGAAAGAGTCAGAGGAAAGAAGATGCAGGTGCCCCAAAAGGTAGAAAAATCGCAAAACACTGTGTTTTTCCAATGATTTGTGGCTCCGGAGGTGGAAAAAAGTAGGCTCCCTAAAGCGCCAGATGAGAGATCAAAAATTGCATGCAGCTGAGGTGCGAAGCACATTTGGAAGCCAAAATGCGCAAAACACTTCAGGTTTGGAAGACTTTTGGACGTTCAGATGTCCAAAACGTGCACGCCGCTTGGCGCGAAGCACGCTTTGAAGTCCAAACACTAAAAGCACCCCATGTTCGGAGCACTTTTGGCAGGTGAACTGCTGACAAAGTGCAGGTGGCTGAGGCGCGAAGCGCATTTCCGAGTCAAAATGGTACAAACACTGCGGTTTCGGTTCACTTTTGGACGTTGAGATGTCTAAAAAGTTCACAAAACAGATAGATAGATAGATAGATAGATTAGATTAGATTAGATTAGATTAGATTAGATTAGATTAGATTAGATAGATAGATAGATAGATAGATGGATGGATGGATAGATAGATAGGATAAGATTAGATCAGATTAGATAAGATTAGATAAGATTAGATAAGAGTAGATAAGATTAGATAAGATTAGATAAGATTAGATAAGATTAGATAAGATTAGATAAGATTAGATTAGATAGATAGAGAGATAGAGAGATAGAGAGATAGAGAGATAGAGAGATAGAGAGATAGAGAGATAGAGAGATAGAGAGATAGAGAGATAGAGAGATAGAGAGATAGAGAGATAGAGAGATAGATAGATAGATAGACAGATAGATAGATAGATAGATGGATAGAGGGATAGAGGGATAGAGAAATAGAGAGATAGAGAGAGAGAGCCAGAGAGATAGGGAGAGAGGGAGAGAGAGAGAGACAGAGAGACAGAGAGACAGAGAAGGAGACAAAGAGAGACAGAGAGAGACAGAGAGAGACAGAGAGAGACAGAGAGAGACAGAGAGAGACAGAGAGAGACAGAGAGAGACAGAGAGAAGGATACAGAGAGAAGGATACAGAGAGAGATATAGAGAAAGAGAGACAGAGAGTGATAGAGATAGAGAGAGAGAGATAGAGAGAGAGAGAGAGAGATAGAGATAGATAGAGATAGAGATAGAGATAGAGATAGAGATAGAGATAGAGATAGAGATAGAGATAGAGATAGAGATAGAGAGAGACTCAGAGCCTCAACCACCCGTTGATCCGTCAGTGGGTTTGCTCTGCCATACATGCATCACGACAACTCACTTCTCCTATAGGTTTCCTATCTTTGAAACTTCCGCCACCGCCTTGTGCGGTACTATTGGTACAGGAATGAGGATGTAAGCTTGAACAATGGGGATGTGACCGACAATAATTTGGAAACCAAGAAGGGTGATCATTGATAGTTGATTAGTCCAAGCAAAATGTAAGGTGTTCGACTTCGACTTCTTAGCAAGCACGAATTCACTTTTGTAAGTGGAAGGCTGATTCATATGGGTGTGTCTCAAAATTTGGAACCGCCAAACCTCATCAAATCTCATTGTTTATCATCAGTGTCCTATTAAAACTGCAATATTGGCACAAATTTGGGTTATCCCTGTTTGGATGACCATGTGTCCATGACTCCAACGCTACAGTGTAGCTACAGCCTCAATCAACCATTTCAAACCACAGTTTCTCACTAATTTTCCATGCTCCAACCCTTCAGATTTCATAGATTTTCCATGTCTGGGTTTGGGTCAAAATTGGGTCCACCAAAATTTGGATGGTTAAGTGCCTACGCCTAAGTACGATCAGTCCATCTGTGGTCCCCTGGGCTTTTTTTTTGTCTCATAATCATCGAGCGGAGCTCTCAATACTCGCAAATCTTTGAATCCTGTTAACATCCTTTAACCACGTGGGGTTGAGTTTCTACTATTATCATTCTTCACATGTTTTCATCTTTCCATTGTTTTTTCTATGTCTAGCAGCGCCTCTATGGGTAGTAGCCTGTATCCAAAGCCATCTCTGGGTCTCGCTGCCAGCTCCAAAATTTCCTGCAAGGCTTCCGATTTCAGCCCATTGGCTTCATCCGGTCCGAGGACACCTCGGGGGTGGTAAGGCGGTAACGGTGTTTTGATGGTGACCAGTTGACCACTGAAAAAAGTAAAATTGATGTGTAAAGAAATATCACACATCCAGGGGAGAGTTTGCCTCCATCTGGAAAAAAAATAAAATCTAATTATATATATATATTATACATATATACACAGTGCGGGAAACATGTTTGATGTCAATGCGAACGATGTCAACGCCAACGTGACAAGATCGATGCACAAGGCATGAGTGAGGCACTTACCAATTCCCCTTCTAAATATCATGCAATGAACAATGCCCAATGAACAAGGCCCCATTTACATCCGTTTCCATTGCCATGTTTGATTTAGGTTAGCTTTGCACTCGAACCCGCACCTTCAGACACTAGCAATCGCAGCCAGCTCTCCCTATCCAACTCCAAGCACACCCCATGGGTGCTCACATTGCTCCCCGGTCTCAAGGCAGCAAAGCTTGGTTCAATGTAGGGAATGCCCGGCAGGCTGAAGTGCAGCTCCCATCCCTCTGCCACTGCGGGTCGAATTTCAGTGGGTGCCAGCTGTCTTCGTCGCCGAGTGGACACATCCATGTTGGAGCCGAAGGCGAAATTCCAGGCGCGAAAAGGGCTGGGAAGGCTGGGTACCATGGCAGGAGCTGCCAACATCATCAGCACCGGGAAGATGATAAATTTGAAAAAGTAACCACCATGCCGTCGAAGTCGGGCTGCCCTCGCAAGCTCAACAGACATAGACATCGCGGCATGAACTCACAGAGAGCCCATGAAAAATGATGACTTTGTGGCAAACTTGTTGTGACTCCAAAGCTCTATGCCCTATGCCATGTATGCTGTGCTGAATGCTGAATGGGTGGTTGGTTTCTCGTGGCGTTTCTCCTCTGGTTTGACTGGCAAAGAAGGAGCTTTCACAAAAGCAAACGAATGGGTGCAAGAAGAACTCGCTTATAAACAAACGTGGAATGCTGGCACTATTCAACTAGGTAGTGCCTGGAGCCCAAAAAAATCGCATATTGCACTCAACTGGAAACACAACATCCCGTCCTATTACAAAACATTCTCAAAAACATGGAGTGCCAACTGTGCCAACTCTTTCGGGCCATTGACACCTTGAGTTTGCCATACCGTACCCAAACAGTGGGCTAGTAGGTTTAAGATCTATGAAATTTGCATCTTCTCCATGTTTGTTGGTGAATATCTTGACCTTTGGCGATTAAATAGTATTAAATAATACGTTAATCCTCCCCATATTTGGTGATCAACATCCTCACTATATTATTGAGTAACTTTTTGAAATATAGAAACTGAAATGAAACTGATCTCTTGTTTGACGCCCCGTTCCAAGATGTTCCAAGAACCGTTCGAAAACAAGCTCCAGGTCTTTTGACTTGGGGCGCGCTTTACGAGGTCGTTTCGCTTCAGCTTCAGCCTGGAGAGGACAAGATATTGCGTATTGGTCAAGCTTGCGGCTAAATCTTCACAAATGTTGCGTTGAACAAGTCATATTTAGCATCGACCGTTCAAGTTTTGGGGTACGAGATTTTGACCCGTGCCATGAACATGGAACGGCGAACGTTACAGCCCTTGAAAAAGTACAGAATGTTCAGCCGGATTTTGATTTGGCTCACAATTATAACCCAAATTTCAAACGGGTACCGTTTCACCTGTCATAACAAACGTAGGGAATGGCATGGAAACTGACCAGCAATAACGAGGCTGAGATGGAGCCACCTTGCCAGCACAAGTGATCCAGCTACAGTAGATCCAAGTTGAACAATCCGTTCCCACCGATATCAAGGGTAGATCAAATACCACCTCGATCCTCTGATTTAGTATTGGATCTACTCATCTTGTGAGCCCTTATTGGGCTATAGAATGTTAAGCGGCTGGCATTAGAATCATTGCATTGTTCTTAGATACTCTCAAATTCAATTCGATGAATGGTGATGAAACTCAATCTCGGGAGAACATGTCCATATACATCAAAATCACCCCATCGACGGGTATCCAAAAGAATCTCATTGAGCACTCTGAAAACCATCCAGAAAATCCCAAATAATGGTTTGTTAATGGCCATCCCGAGTTCGTGGATATGATCAACTAACTGGCTAACTAATTACAGTATATCTCCCCGTATTTTGATGGTTAAAGTTGCACCCCAAGAAATCATGGCTGAATCCTCATAAAATATCTAATCAACGGGGGTTTTTAAGACTGTCGCTTAAATATCGCATTATACGCCTATTATATCTCCATAACATGGTGTTCATCTGGGTATGTCCCCATGAAAAACATCTGAAACATAACAGTGTTCAAGGGGGGCCCTAATCCAAATAGTCTCCAAAACATGTTGTCCATCCGTTTTTTGCATTCCATGGTCAGGATACAAGCAAATGCCCATTAGAAAAGACTTGTTTTGAGCAGGAAGCAGCATTGGTTTGATCTTAAATCACCGCAATGGTCTACAACAGTGCCTTTTCAATGCTCAGAACAAGTCTTCCTGAGTTTTGACGGATCATGACGGATCACAATGTCCCCAATTGAAATGGTTGTAGTTGAAATGGTTGTAGTTGATGGGTAATATTTGAACAAGCTCCGAATGAATGTCGCACATCCCCACTTGTTCAACAGCTCCGACTCTTTTGCTGACGATCGCCTTCAGCGCTCTGCTCACTGCAGCGGCAGCTTCTTCGAGCGTCACTTCTGCAGAGTCCTGGCTGATGGTTTAAGGCATGGGAAAATCTACAGGAAATCAATGGATTTAAGAACCAAGAAATTCGCTGATGGTGCCCTTTTCGCTGAAATTCCCTACTTGGGCGGGTCTGACTGCTTCCCGAGTCTTGGTACCATAACTCCCTAGTTTCTATCATCAACCAAGGGCTTGGATGAAAAGTTGGGGTTGCCCTTGACTTGGAAGCCCCCCATTCGGTTTAAGTGAACATCTACCGGAAACCAGAGAATTTCCTGCAGATTTGCCCTCCCAAAAGTGCGGAAAAGACTCAAGGCCTCGACACTCTTCCTCTTGGGAGCCTTAAGTTGCCGCCGTGCCTTGCAGTTTTTGAAGCCACAAATGGTGGATGATGGTGGATGTTTGTCGGCTGAGAAAAGACAACCTATCCCAGTTACAATGGCCAACCCAAGATAGCCTAAAAAGAAATAGCTGGTTAGATCTGGGTGGTAGTCTATTCATTCGACTTTCCCAGTATTCTTATGTCGCGTTCAAAAAATGATCCATTAAGCATGTCAACCCCGGATGCATAACACTGACTATTAATTGGGCGGTTACGCGCAAAATAGTTTTCTAGATGATTTACAAAAAAGAAAAAATGATTGTCCACTTCGCAAACTGTAAACACTTACCAGAGGGTAAAAAACCATGTTCCCACTAGTCATGCATAATCTAAGTACCGTTCATCAGTACCCTGGGTGAACATCCAAACTTGGACAAAGGGCGGCCTCCGTTTTGGCCCGTGCAGGGATGCCAGCTTCCCAGGCTGTATCGGCAATCCGAGCGGCTTCCTCGGCCTCAACAATAGTGGATGATGAATGGATGATGCATGGATATATGGATCATTAAGCGACTATTATTAATGGATTATCGATGTAAAATAAATGGATTACAATGGATTAATAGATTATGAACTAAAATTTACAATCATGATCTATCACTATAAATGATCACCAATGCCAATAGATAAATCATCATAAATATGTTATTTCTATGGCCCACTTTCCATACCTATGTAAAATTACCGGAGTGTATCACCAACAATATTCATATGATAGGATATATAATGATATATAAAATTATATAAATACAATGCCTATCAAAGAATATGTATTAATATTATATAATAAGTTTATGCGGACACATACCGAGTGTGTCTGAAAATGGGCCGGTGTACCCACATCATGGTTGGATGGTTGGCTCCGACGGGCTGAAACGCGGATTTTCATGTGTTTCCCGCAACGGTGATGTTAACATTATAATCTTGCGGTGTGCATGTCCATGTGTGGGGTGGGGTGGGGTGGGTCGGCTAGTCAAGTAACTTTCTTTTGCCTGCATTTTTTTCTTTCTTCTACGCTCTTAACTTTTTCAAGCAACTTCCGACATGCTCTTGATGCTACTCTCTGAACTTTCTCAAGCAACTTCCAACGCGCTCTTGCTGCTAAGATCTTACCTTTTCAAGCAACTTCCAACACACTCTTGATTCTACGCTCTCAACTTTCTCAAACATTTTCCAACACTAGTGCTGCTACGCTCTTAACTTGTTCAAGCAATTTCCAGCTGATACGAAAGATATCGAAAGATTTTTGTCACAGGCGCGTGTTTACACATCGTCCAACCGTCGTTGTTTCAATGGTGAAAATGATGATAAACCATCAAATTTGGAGTCTTCACCATAAATTGTCAGACAAACCCAGAAAATCCGTACCATTCGCAACATTCGTAACATTCGTAACATGGAAATTCGGTCAAGGTTTTGGGTACCACCCAAAGGTCACAGTAAAAGTACTGAAAATCACCAGAGTCCCGCTTGAATCTGATTGGCCACAGGAACGTCTAAGGTATCCTTAGAATGGCTGTGGGTTAGATTTCGTCAGATGCCTAATGTCCAGTTTTCGGTCATTTTGACGGCTCCCCTGTGCTCCGATTGTGTGGGGGTTTGATGATATTACATATACAACATAATTAAGTATGTAAGTAAGTAAGTATGTATGTATGTATGGATGGATGGATGGATGTATGGATGGATGGATGGATGTATGTATGGATGCATGTATGTGTATATATATATATACATATGTTTTTCGGATGAAACTATAAATAACCAGACTTAGAATCCAATTATTAGGATATGATATGATGGGATAACCCACTTACTAATCCGGGTTATTCAAGAGGATCCAACCTGGAAAAAAAAAGTGCACCACTCTGGTCATGGTCATTGTTCAGGCTCTCACACTGCAGGCCCGATGTCCAGCAGCCTGACGGTACCCAAAAAAAAGAAAAAAGAAAAGACAGAGAACCAGTGGGTTGACGTATATTTCAATATGTTAAGCACTGTTAAGCAACACAAACATATGGACGCTGGTTAGCATGTAGAAACCATGCCACGTTATGAAGCCAGCACCTCTGGTGCCGTTTGCATGATTGCTATCCACACATCTCCTGAGTGTCCAACTCAGTCTGTGACAGCTTGTGGTATCTTGTGGTGTCAAAAATAATGAAATATGGGACCACATTTTTGGATACACCATGGTAATTAGATGTAATTAGTGTATATATATATATATATACAGCATACAATCGTCCAAGAAATTCAACAAATGCTACAAACTTCACCATTGTTTTGGCTGCAGTGGGCTTCACAATACAAAACACTGAGTATGCCGCTCAGCGCAGGCCAACCTTCCGCTTTCGCCTCAGCCAATCGAACTCCATCTAAGTTGTTCAGTTGGACAAGAAATCCATGTGCGGTTTGAATTCCTTTCAGATTTGAAGTATTTTGAAGTGCTCAAGCTGCTCAAGTTAAAGTCCTGCCTTGCTTTGACAAGGACCACATCCTCTTTCTCAATGCTCCGGTTTCACTTGCTTGATCAGCCACAAAGCCAAACGGGTTTAAAACAAACGAAAGTGTCCGCGCATTCCACCAAACAGCTTTGCCTCACTATTCCACCCTTCAAGTGAGTTTTGCAACGAATGATGTTTTTGGCAAGCATATACTTTGTGCTCGTTTACTACGATCTTAAACCCCCACGTA